GCTAATGGTTCATGCCAATACTGAAAGTATGTGTTACACTCCTTTTTCCTTCAACCAGTTTTTGTCCTAGTCGGGTTTTTCTAGCAATGTTTTTATTAAGGCAGCAACGAAAATCATACTTCGGAGGAAACGTCACCAACAAAAGTCAAGACCTTTAAATATCAAGGCATTAAAATTTCCACGTCGATGGTAAACAGTTATGTGGATGGCTAAACAATCTTTGGTTCGATGGCAATCTTTCCCTTCCATTATTAAAAAGGGACTATTTAACCGTTCACAAGTTGTTTCCACTTTGTGGTTCGGCCCTTCCCTGAACCCCGCGCATAGCGAGAGCTTAGTGCACCGGGCTGTCCCTTTTCAAATTGTTTCCACCGGTGAAGCAGCAATCTGGGTACAAGACTTCCACCGCTCGAATTTGCATGCTTTGCATTTGAACACTAGGGGGAAATAGTATCTGATACGCCACCAGAAATGCCATGAAAATCGGGACTACGAGAACCAGGATTAATGTTTCATCAAGATCGGGGACTGCATGATCAGCCCCGTAAAAATAAGTTGTACAAGTAATCCACATGTATTGGCAACTTTATTTACTTAAGCAAACAAATGCCTATGTACTTTTAAAATAGAGGGAATAAAACAAAGTCCTTTTATTTTTATCTTTTTTTGTTTGAATGATGAGTTAATTCTATCGTTTGAAAGTTCATAAAAACTTCAAATGCTTGTGCCGGAATAAACACGAGACGTCCTCTTCAAGATCACCATAAACATAAGGGCCCTCTCTTATTAAATCCTCATAGTAAAGGGTAGATTCCAGAAGAATTTATGCCCGAAATCAAAAGCTATCGGATGAAAATTTATACCTGAAGTTTTAATTAGCTAAACATAAAAAGGATATTTTTGCACAATACTTAAGCAAAAAAATCTTTTATTTTCAGGTACCAAACTTGATGAAAAGTTTGGAATAATTAAAAAATATTTTAAAAAAAGTATACATCATTGCCGCCAGAACCCGAAAGAAGAGAAGGATTTATGTTTCCCCGTAGGAAGGTAGATTCACTATCGGTTTAGGGCCTTCATATTCTTTAGTCTCCCCTTCGGTTCCCGAATACTCTGAATCAGTATTCGAGGAGTCAGTCGCAGCGGGCCGAGCAGGAAGATTTTCACTAGCGGATAACTCCAGTTTTCGGGCCTGGGCAATACAATTGTCTATGTCAGCGATACCCATTTTGGCCTCCTTCAAGGTCTTCCTCTTCATATGATATATGGAATAGGACTTCTTGAAGACAAGGGAATCCTCTTGATCTTAGAGTTTTGCATGAAGTTTATCGATTTCGGCCTGGAGCTCTTCTCTTTCGAAGTTTATGGTGCAAAGGCGGGCGCCGAGCTCAACATTTGTAGTTGAGTGAAGCCCTTTTTCGTCCATGGCCCTCTTAAGCCTCTCTTCCATTCAGGCCCTCTTCTCCTCGGCACCACTAGCCTCCTCGGTTTTGGAGCATAAGCTAGCCTTCAAGTTATTGATTTGCTCCTCAAAGGCAAACTCATGCTAGGCAACAGCGATGGCAACATCATGAAGTTCAGCCCACTTAGACTTAGCTTTTTGAAGCATTTCGTGTAATTCGGAAGCTTCTTGGCTGTGGGCCAATTCTATCTTGCTTGCTCTGCTGTAACTGAGCCTCAGGCTCGCCCATCTCTACAGCTTTTGCCTTCAGCACCAGGAGGCGCTCGCCAAGATGGTTCCTCTCAGCCAAAAGTTGATCCCGCTCGGAAGCAAGTCCTTCTTTACCAAGGATCAACCTTTGCTAGCCCTCAAAGACAAAGAGGTTGGCCTAGAAAGAAGAGATTAGAATTAAGGTTACCATTGCAGTGTATGCATATCAAAAAAAGAAAGAGATAGAAGGAAACTGGTAGGATACCTGTGTTGCACTATGCATGTTGTTATTTATCAGGAACTCCACAGAAAGGGAACCCATTTTCTTCCAATCATTCGCAAGCTCCACTGGCTTGGATAAAATATGACACTCTTTCGAAACCGAAAGAGTGGCACTTCTCCTCCATCGAGGATCTTGGGAAGGAGTTGAATAATCATGCCCCAAGTTTCCGTGATCGGAAGACCGAGGAGGAGAATCATCCATTTCTCGATCAGCTAATACAGGTGGAGGAGATACAGTTGGTGTTGTGGCGATGGAATAGCTGGTGTCGGTGGGCGAAAAGTTGTTGGTGTAGAAGGAGCATAAGTAGCAGTAGTAGAAGGAGGGGCGGTTGTTACTTGCTCAGTGGTTGGGGGGCAGAAGAGACCTAATGTTCGAACTCCTTGGACTAAAGACAATAATGGGGGGGGGGGGGGGGGGAGAGAGAATCAGCATTCTCGACCAGTTCCATCTCACCCCCAAAACGCCTGAGTTTCCTCTAGTGTTGGGTTTTGAAGCTCCCCCAGCTGAGAACCCGGTTGAGTCGATGAAGATCTCCTTTGAAGGGAAGCCTCTTCATCACTAGCTTCTCCTTCATCAACAAGGACCACTGCGGCCGGCTCGGATGGTGTTTTCTTTGCTCTCTTCTCCTGAGTCCCAGCCGGGGAGGAGCGTCTCCTTTTCAGTTTCTTGTTCTCGGATTGTGGACTCCGAGATGGGGCACCTTCACCGATGACTCGGGCAGATGCACGAGCTCTGCTTCGAGCGAGGTCATTTTGCAGCACCCTCCTGGCCTCCTCAGGGTCAACTAAAGCTTCAGATTCGAGGCAGATGACATAGCCTCTCGAAAGTCCTATATCAACAAAGAATGAAGTTAGCAACTTATCCATGAGATTTCTTGCATTTGGACAAGAATAAAAGAAAAGAAGGGCTTGGCTTACCATGCTGCTTGGCCTTCCACCCATATTTGGGGGCCATCTCCTTCCACCGTCGGGATTCTAGAGTGATAATGTCCAAAAAAAATTGAACCCATTGGTCCAGGCTTTGAACTCGTGGCGGTTTCCATCATGTAGCTGAAACAAAGGAAACAGAAAATCAGCAAAAGCGGACAATGAGCCTTTCACGGAGAAAGGAAGCAGAAAATCAAAACTTACGAAAAAGGTTCCACGACTTGGGAAAGGCTGGAGTTGTGGCCAGGATGATGTCCCTAGTAGCAATAATGATGAACCGCTTCATCCATCCACGGTCGTTGTCGTCGTCTACGCTGTTGAGGAGAGCGTGGTGACCATGTTTGCTAAAATTTATTACTCTCCCACGAAAAATCTTGGGAGAGTAAAGATTCATTATATGTGCAAGAGTTGGGGTTTTTCCGGTCTTAGTGCACAACCGTTTTAGGCATGCCACTGTCCGTCATATAGATGGACCTAAGGTAAAGGGATACATATAGATATACATAAACCCATCCTTGGAGTACGCAACCCGCTTTACCATATCTGGGGTGAGGATTACAATATTGGGGCAGTTGCAATCCTCCTTCACAGTTAGGATACTGAAAGGGCGAGTGGAGGAGGGAAACCTGCGAACTTGCCAAAATCGGTGGCCTTGAGAAGTTGTAGAAGGAACTTTTTCTTGAAGGACGTTTGCAGTGCTGAGCTGAAGGGGTATGATGGTGCTAACAGTTGGAGGTTCAGACTCAACGTCGACCTTCTTGTCTTTGTTCTTCTTCGGGCCTCCACCGAAGATAAGACCGGTATTACCAAAGGAAGCACTGTATGAAGATATGATGGTAAGAGGTTTGTAAAAGAAAAAAGCTCTTGCTGAAAAAGTTGAAGGTGGTTAAAGGTTTCTAAGCAGATGCAGATAAGAAGAAAGACTTATGAAAGTTGTGGAAGTAAAGAAATAAAAATGATGAGTAGAGGGGAAGTTATAGACGGCAAAAATCGTGGCCATGATTACCTCGAAAATCGGAAAAAATATTTATTATATCGTGGGGAGACACGTGTTTGGGTTATTGACAGAGACTGTTCAGGAACTTTCCGGCAAAGCAACGAATCTTCACCCACTTCCCGGTAACACTGAGCTGCATCAGTGGAAAGTAGGGGTACTATTTGTATAGGGTAAAATTGATTGATAACAAGTGATCGAATAGTAAGATGACACGTGGAGTCGAAGATAGAAAAAAAGACGAGTCTGGAAACAATTTTTACCGAATGCGACGTGTGTGATCGGTACCGGATGGATTACGAAGGGAACGTAGTCGGCGGTAGAAGTTGAAAGATTTGTCATCGGACAACATTCAATGAGGGAATATTTGCTAGTGTTAAATGAGCAGCCGTTACAGAGAATATTTGCATTCAAGTCTTGCCGCTCCATATTCATCAATGACACTTTTATTCTCATTTATATATGAGCTTGATCATAGGATTTTGTTTTCCTAGGTAGAACTATAAAGAGTGGGGTTAACACCACTGTAAGGACACGAAACATTGTACACGCAAAAGCTATATTTTACTATTTTACTCTCATACTTCACTATTCAAACTCTCACTTTAACGGTTTTATCGTTGCTTTATCTTTACTACCCTTTTGCTCTCAGAAAGGCTGAGTTGCTTGTCTATAAACCACGTTACAAAATCAATTGTACCGTTTTACGGGTAAACAATTTCTTGTGTGTAATCATAAGAATCTTGGATGTCATACATCCAAACTCACAAAGAAATCTCAATCTTAGTGGTTGACTACCGGAACTTTCACCGTGTTGGTAAGGTTCATTCCCCGCCTTATAATTCCCTCTCCCATTTACCATTCCCACCCCCATAAAGTTAAAAAAGAAAAAAAGAACAGATTAACTTTAAATTTTAGCATATAAATTAAAATAGGAACAAAACAAGATAGTCTCCATACTATTGAAAGATATATCATACTTTTTCTCAAAGCAACAGTGATGAGGGAAAACATAAGGGTTAACATCTCAATGTCTTGCCATATTTAAGCTGACAGAAGAAGCCATATGGTCAGCTTCTTCAAATCAAACGACACTAAGGGCTATTTCAACATCAGTATTTTTCTCAGTCCAAAACTTCTGAAGCAGCAAATTAAAGCGTGCTAAATCTATAAAGTATGCAAAATTGTGGTACAAAATGCTCTAAAATTCTCATGCAGGTAAAAGATGAAAATATATAGTAACTGTGTGAGGAGCTCACCTGGTAATATTCTCCTTCATCACTATTCTATATCTACATCTCACAGAAGGAAAAGGCTGACACATTATGTATCCTGGCCTTTTAAATTTCTAATACATTCACATTGAAGAAAACAAATGAAAGAAAGTAAGTAGAATAGGATCAAAATCTTACAAGTTCTATCTACATCTACTACACAGAGAAGTCCCTTCTTTTATCTACCATCAGCTGATGTAAAGGACTCCGCAAATCCAGTTGGTCTTGCAGGGATACTACCCTTACTGTCCTCGAGGTCCACATAACTCAAGTCTTTTCCTTCCGATTCTTGCCATCCCTTCACCATTTGATTGAGGGGAAGACTGTAGTCGATACCACAATATTCCTCCGGATCATCCTCAAGAGGCTTCCATTTCTCAACAAGTGGGCTTAGTACATTCACGGCGTGTCCCATATCGGGCCGTTGGCCTGGTTCTCTTGCAGTGCAGTGACCAGCAAGTTCAGCTAAGGTTGAGATGCTCTCAATGATCTCCTCTTTAACATCCAGAGCTGGATCAATGGCTGCCATAAGCTTCTCTTTAGTGGATTTGATATTCCAGAACCATGCAACCAAGTACTGGCTTTCCTCGGTTCTATCCTCATCAAGTGCCATCATCCCAGTTAGCAACTCCATTAGCACAACACCGAAGCTAAAGACATCTGCTTTCGTGGTGATTTTACCCGTAACTGGATCAAATCAGCAGGTCATTTGAGTTAAGAAATGGGAATACCAAAATAATTCGCTATACTTCAGATTGAGTTAAGCAAACTCTAGGGGTCTATAAAAGTAAAGATTGTCATATAGACATGCCTTTTTGAAAAAAATCATACTTTCTTTCTCTTTGATAAAGTAAGCCTTCTTAAAAATCATCTCATCATTGAACACGGTCAAAGTACTGATTTTGATGCTGGCATTTCGCTTTATTCTGTTTTTTGGTGTTTCGGTGCAATGAGAAAAAAACAAAAATTATTGTTTATACATTTCATATGCAAATAATTAAAAGAGCTCAATGAGATGTCCTTAATTGAAGAAAGACAGAAATTCAAACCTAGGCTACATGAATAACTCGTCAAATAGTTACATACTAAGACCGAAAGCAGACAGTATTTCCTAACACTTCAAATAGCAATATAGAAAAAGAAAAAAATTGGTTACCTGCATATTCAGGTGCCAGATATCCAAACGTTCCGGCCAGCCTGGTGACCACAGATCCCTCTCCATCAGGAGCAAGTTTCACGAGTCCAAAGTCAGACACTTTTGCTCGGAAATCATCACCCAGCAATATATTTGAGGATTTGAGATCTCTGTGTATGAAGCTCTGATGAGCCAACGTGTGTAGATACTCCATCCCTCTAGCAACATCTAAGGCAATATTAAGCCTCTTCTTCCAAGAGAGAGGCTCCAATTTGAAGTTTTTCCAGTGGAAAAGATGCCTACTAAGAGCACCTTGTGGCATGTACTCATATACCAGAATTCTTTCATTACCTTCAACAGAGTATCCTAATAGAGATACTAAATGCCGATGTCGGACTTTTGAAAGAACAGCAATTTCAGATCGAAATTCATCCAAGGCTTTGTTGCTAATTATCCCAGCTTCCATTCTTTTGACAGCTATTTGTGTCCCGTCATCTAATTCTCCCTTATAAACCACGCCAAATCCACCACGCCCAAGTTCATTTTCTGGAGAAAAATTCTTAGTCACATTCCTAAGTACTTGAACCGCTATGAGCAAACTCCCAGCTTCAATCATATGGGATTCACCACTGTGTATGCTAGCAGAACCACTTGCATTCATCGTGGATAGACTTCCATTAGTGTGATTGGCAATTGCAATCTTGACTACATCATCAGTATCAGACGGATCTCTAGGATGAACCACAAGAGAAGTTGGAGCTTGATGCTTATCTTTACTCTTCTTACGGACATAAATGCACAACGGAACAGCAAGACAAACCAAAACTACAAAACCTGCAATAGGAACCACAACTATGGCTAACTTAAACTTGGAATCTTTCTTTTCTGGTGACTGCTCACCGGGTTTAACAATGACAGAGCTTGAACCATTGGGTTGTGAAGATGGTACAGACGAAGAGGGTGAAGTCGCAGGGGCCGTGCTGTTGTTTGGCGAAGGGTTTGCTCCAGAAGTACCAGAGGTCAGTTGCGGATTCCCATTTAAAACAAGTTTCAAAGGGGTGGTAAATTTTGGCAGAGGTGGGGAAATATTGTTATTACTCAAATCAAGGACAGACAAAGATTTCAAGCTAGTCCAAGTAGATGGAATAAAACCAGAAAGATTATTAGATCCAAGATAAATGTGAGTAACAGATTCAAGATTTGCAATTGAAGGACTCAAGGTACCAGAAAGATTAGACCTAGGCAAGTTTATGACACTAAGCTTTTGTTTATTGTCACAGCTTAATCCCCACCAATTTCCATCACAAGGATTATTACCAGACCATGATTCAACAAGCCTAGAAGGATAATTCACCCCATCAAGAAACTCTAAAAGTGCCATAACTTCTAAGGCACAAGTTGCCCCTTGTTTGGTTTGACAAAAAGGGTTGGATTGGAAACTAACATTAGTAGCCTTGAACTTAGGAACTGGACCCATAAAATGATTATTATTCAAATCAAGACTGTCTAATGGCATATTAGCTAAACTTTCAGGGATTAAACCAACAAGTTCATTGCTATTCACATTGAATTCCTTCAAATTTGTTAAATTACCAATCCCCTCTGGGATTTTACCTGAAAATTTGTTCCCATGAAGCCAAAGACTTGTGAGTGACACCATTGTTGTAACAACATCAATTGGACCACTCATTCCATTACCAGATTGATCATTTAACCAAAGCTTCTTGAACACTGCATCTTTGAAAGTGGTTGGAATAGGCCCTGAAAGCCTATTTGTGGACAGCAACAAAACCTCTAAAGAAGACATAGTTCCAAGAAATTCAGGCAAAGGACCAGTCAAACTACAGTTAATCATTGTCAAATTGAGCAACTGAGCTGAATCTTGCAATCCACTTGGTAATGACCAACCAGTAGTAGCATTCAGAGGATTACTATCTAAAGCCAAAACTTGTAGATTGACAAGTCCACTGAAAAAATCTGATGGGATTGTGTCAAATTGGTTGAAATCCAAGTAAGCAAACTTCAATTCAGACAAGCCACTAAAAGATGGCAACTTGCCACTAAATTGGTTCTTTTGCAAGCCCAAATTTGTGAGCTTTGACAACTGATTCAAGTTGTGTGGTAAAGGGCCTTTTAATCCCAAACCCATGACTTGAATCTGCTGAATTCTGGTACCAGCACACACAATATGTGGCCAAACTGGAGAACCACAGGGGTCTCCACCATTTTCAGGCCATTTCAAAAGCTCAGGATTTTCCAGTCCTTTTTTGAATTCATTGATAATAGCAAAGTCATTGGGGTCTGTTAAACTGAAAACAAGTGAAGCAAGAGCAAGAAACAGTGTCACAACAAGCTCCATACATGATCCACAAAGCACCATTGGACATGCATTTAAACAGAACCAAAGAAAGCTACTGTAACATGTGCCACCTAATGCTCAAATCTTGAGACAAGGAGAAAAGAGAGTGTCATAATTGGAGTGAGAAAAAGCACAATGCTTGTGCTACTATTATGGTGGTGTTCTTGCTGACAATCACAGTGGTTTTAATTTTTAGAGTGTATTCCAAAATAAAATTAGTAAATAGAGAAAAAAAAAAGAATAGAAAAGAAAATGAAGAATCTGTTGTTTGAAGATTTAGGAGCAAGAAATGACCATAAAAAGTGGATCTTTCATGAGAAATGCTTATCCAAGAAAATACATGTATAATGAATGTCTCTTTAGAAGGAGAGCTTGGTGAGGTCAAAGGTAAAAACAGTCACTTGCAGAAATATAACATGCAAGGTAAGGTTATGTACAATAAACTTTTATGATCTGGCCACTCCACGAACTCTGCGCATAACGGAAGCTTAGTGCACCGGGCTGCCGTTTTTTATGAATGTCTGTTTAGAGGAAAATTAAATTTGTCTTGGATATTTCTTTGTATTATGAAGGGAAGTGCTGGTAGGGGTATTATAGTCTTTATGACAAGCATACACCCGTAATTATATTTAATTACATCTAAGTTTCCATATGGACCTGGCTGGTATGGTTGATTGTGGAAAGTAATACCAAGTCTTTTTATTATTATTTTTATCTTTTTGGGACAAGAAATCTTTTATTTAATGAAACCAAAAAGAAAAGGGAAGCACTCCACTAAAATTATTGAGTTTCAGTTGTTTCTTTTAACTTACTTCTCCCGTCCCAAAATGTTTCCTTTTGTTGCTGTTCAAATTTGGTTTCCTCATACTTTGACTAACTCTTTTTATAAAAATTTTTAACAATTTGTAACAAAAATAAATTAATCTCATAATGTTATTAATACAATTTTTTTATTTACAATTTTAAGAATTTATTTACATACAGTCTTGATATTTTGACAAAATTAGCCTTTTAAAGGGGAAAAAAAGGTGAATGAATTTTGAAAATGAGAGACGGCCTTTTACCCATATATAATATATGTTCGCAAAATGTACGGTTCCAAACATGTTTTATAAATACTTCTATTATTAATTTTATTTTGAAGTACTACTAGCTCCTATTCATATTAATTATCTTGTTTCTCTTTTACATGTCTTTTAAATATAAATAAGCTTCTTACTACAATATCCTTAAGCATTCAACATATTAATTTCTATGCTAGTTTTTTTTACTTTCAAGACATTTAATACTAAGGATAAAATGAAAAAAAATTATACCTTGATTTTTAAAATGATAATTATTTTGGACAAAATATATTTAGTAAGCATGGCAATTAATATGGACGGAAGGAGTAATATTTTAATGACGTATAACAAATCCCTTTGTAATTAAAATTTTATTCGTTTCTGACAGTACCATTAAAAGAAATCCCAAAGGAAAGATATTCGTTGACGTGTTTAAAACAACCGTAATTATTTAATGCATGCATGACAAGTTAGCATGGCTATTAATGTTCATAAATGTAAATTGGCCATATGGTTTAAGTAGTTGTACTTGTATATTTATTCAAGTGTAAGTTTTGACATTCCTTCGGATTATTGGTAGGTCGAGTTTTTAATGTGAAAAACAGAGTAAAAATGAATACTCGTGATTTTCCATGTCATGGTGAAGCCAATATAGGTTGGGGTTTAATAATGTAAAAGTTTGCGGCAGCCTCATATCTTGAAATACTTGTGGACTTCTAGCAATCAAAATTACCTCATGATAAACTGCTAGCTAGTTTTCTTTTGTAAAAAAAAAAAAATTACCTCATGATAGATAGACTTTCTAGTAAATTAATATGCCATTTTACATGAAAAGCTAGGAAAAATTTGCCACCATGCTTAAAGTAGGACATTCTGTTTTTTCTTCTTTCCTTTTTATGTCTTTTTAGATCAAGCAAATATTTTCAGAATTAAATTTAGTAAATGTAAAATGAAAAGAATGAAACTTGAAACTATAGGAATGGGATTGACCTGGATTATACTTTTGGTATATGGAAGTGATTGATGAAATTGATGTGCAAGAGGAGGCATGAGAAATAAATATTTTTTCCTTAAATAGTTGGAAGATGTGTACCATATATGGGGTGCACTAACTTATGTAACACACTGGTGAGGATGAGTTAGAATTGTATTATCACATTATATAAAAACTTAAATTATTAGAAAAAAAAATTACTTGATTAATTACACATTCAACACGTCATCCTACAATTAAAGTTGATTATTTTTTCATGGGCTAAACACATGGATGGATAGTCTTTTTATTATAAGTAGCAATGAAATTGTTCATTGTCTGCAAATAGTTATGTTATCAAAGAACTATATTTATTTTGTGCACGGTCAAAATCGTATGCCTTCGATCTATAGGCTCGAGGGGTTGCCTTAAGCCCGAATTCAGGTAAGGTCAAGTTTGAGCCCGATGGATCAGACTCGAGCTCGAAGATAGGATGCAAGGCCCGAGGATTGGAGTGCGATGAACACCAAAGCCGAGTACGCTCGACCTCGAAATAATGCTGTTATGGATTTCTAACAGAATGAGCGAGATTCCTGTCACGTCCCCAAGATCATGGCACAAATTCCGGAATAGAATTGTACGATTTCGTACTAGGCGGTTAGACAGCTGTACCAATAATATTCCTTACTGTAAATAGAAATATACCTTATTTAGGGTTTCCCTATTATAAAATGGGGCACCCCAATCATTTGTAACATCATCTAATCATTGGCAAATAATATACTATCTTACTTTTCTGGCTCATTGCTCATCAGACTTGTCTTTTCTCTCTACTGTTCTTACTTTATTGTTTTGGTTTATCTCGAGGTCACTAAGCTCGAGGTCAAAAGTGCTTGAGTAACACTGGTTTGATTCACTTGTTTCTTTCATTTATACCTCACATTTCTTGATTATTAATTAGTATTGAACTAAATCACATATCTTTAAAATCATAAATCAACTTTAATTGTTACTCGTATTTTCGAGGTAAACAGTTTGGCGCCCACCGTGGGGCTAAAGATAATAGTGATTATTTCTTTACTGATTCTCATTACACACGTTATTTTTACACTTTTTCTTGTCAAGATTTTCTAATTCTCAGGATTAAACATGTCAAACTCGCAAAATATACTTGTTCATTACAACGAAGGTCTTGGATTTCATGGGAAAAACAACAATGCAAAGGTCGGTGTACCACCAATAAACCCTGGGGAAGTGCCAAATGTGGAACCGGTTGACGTTAGTTCGCACGTTGCTTTAAATGCAGATTTAGGCACAGACCCCAGAGGGAGTGCACGTAGAGAAGCCCAATCTAGGGGCCAAGGAACACCAGGTATAGGAGATGGGGGAGTCATCCTCCAAGTGATATTCGAGATGCTGCAAGCTCAGCAGATCGCCATCGCTCAATTCCAAAGTCAGAATAAAACTCCGAGTATAGCTGAACCAGAAAACACTCGACGAGCTGAACCAACGCCAAAGAGGTCGAGAAATGACTCGGGGACTGACCCCACCATTATGAGGATGCTCAAAGAGCTCACCAAGAGGATCGAGTCCGGGGAAAAGAAGATTGAGGACAAGATAAGAAGGTGGAGACTTATAACTCCCGTGTAGACTAGATACCGGGGGCGCCTCTAGTTTTGAAAGGTTTAGGTGCAAAAAAGTTCATACAAAAACCATTCCCTCAGAGCGCGGGTCCGATGCCCATCCCTAAAAAGTTCCGCATGCCCGATATACCCAAGTATAACGAGACAACCAACCCTAACGAGCATATTACTACATACACTTGCGGATCAAAGGAAATGACTTGAACGACTATGAGATCGAATCAGTATTATTAAAAAAGTTTGGAAAAACATTGTCAAAAGGAGCTATGATTTGGTATCACAACTTGCCTCCTAATTCTATTGATTCGTTTTCTATGTTAGCAGACGCTTTCGCGAAAGCGCACGCCGGGGCCATAAAGGTGGCAACGAGAAAATCAGATGTCTTCAAGAGAAAACAAAGGAACGACGAGATGCTGAGGGAGTTCGTGTCTAGGTTCCAGATGGAGCGAATGGAATTACCACCGGTCTCGGATGACTGGGCAGTACAAGCTTTTATGCAGGGTTTGAATTAAAGGAGCTCGATTGCGTCTCGACAATTAAAACAGAATCTGATCGAGTATCCAGCTGTGACGTGGTCGGGCGTATATAACCATTACCAATCAAAGATTAGGGTCGAGGACGACCAGTTGGGATCCCCTTCGGGCTTAGTTCATCCTAACAGGTCGGCAGCTAAGCCCCCGAGGGATACAGATAGGGAATCAAGGTCAAACAAAGAACGGTATCAGCCGTATGTTGATCGGAGAAATAACTGTTCGGGATGTAACATTCCTCGGAATGATCGGAGAAACGATCGAAGTCAAAGCTCTCGGGGACTCATGAGTAAGAGCGGGTTCGATAAACATACCAATTCCGTGGAGGCACATCGATTGTCAGAGTATAATTTCAGTGTAAACGCATTAGGGATCGTGTCAACTATTGGAAGAATCAAAGATACTAGGTGGCCAGACCCATCAAAATCGATCCTTCTCAGAGAAATCCAAACTTGATGTGTATGTATCATGGCACACATGGCCATAAAATCGAAGACTGCAGGCAGCTAAAGGAGGAGGTAGCTCGGCTGTTCAACGAGGGTCACCTTCAAGAATTTCTCAGTGATCGAGCTAAAAACCACTTCAGGGAGAGAGATGCAAGAAAAAATGAGTAGGAAGAACCACAACATGTAATCCACAAGATCGTTGGCGGTGTCGACGTCCCGCAAGGACCTGTGTTCAACGCACCAAGGTATCAATCACTAGAGAAAAATGGACTCAGAGTTATGTGCCCGAGGACGCCTTATCATTTTATGACGAAGAAGCGGAAGGCATATCTCAGCCGCACAATGACGCCCTGGTAATTTCTACCCTTTTAAATAAAATTCAAGTTAAACGTGTTCTAGTGGATCCGGGTAGCTCAGCAAACATAATCAGATTGAGGGTCGTAGAACAACTCGGCCTACAAGATCAGATTGTATGTGCGTCGCGGGTCCTAAATGGCTTCAATGTGGCAAGCAAAACAACAAAGGGGGAGATAATCCTACCAGTAAACGTAGCCAGAATCATACAGGATACGAAGTTCCATGTCATCGAAGGCAACATGAGGTATAATGCACTCCTCGGGAGACCGTGGATACACAACATGAGGGCAGTGCCTTCAACTCTTTACCAGATGATGAAGTTCCCAACAGAGGAAGGAGTGAAAACATTTTACGGAGAGCAACGTGCTCTAAAGGAGATGTTTGCACTCGAGGAAGTGGTACCGATACCAGAGCCTTCGACCTCACAGAAATCGAGCATCAAAGGTAAACATGCGGCTAAATAGCAATCACTGCCCCC